AAATATAAACCCATCTTTGGTTTTTTTACTCTGGTGTCCTTAAAACTTATAATATTGAACGGGTAATAGCCCATTTCATTGCTATTTACTTTTTTTTTTATCACAACCATAATGAAGTACCTACCTACACAATATACCTACATACAAATATCACTGGACGGGGCTGAGAGGGTCAGTTCTTTGGTTGTACCTACTACTGATTTTTTTAAAGCAAAATTGAATCGGAAATAAATAACTATAAAACAAAATATTTATTAAAAATATAACCATTTACGAATGGGTTATGGTGTCAAGGTTAGGTTAATAAGATGGTGATTTTTCAATTTTCATTCCATTATCTTTCTGTGTCAAAATTATTATCCGTAACACGACAATACGATTAGTTCAAGGATTAAAAGCAAATCGCAAGGAATTCATGAAATTAATTTACAAATTAAAATAATAATAGTTTAGCAATACATAAATATTCAAAATACAAACATACCTAACTATAAGGGTTATAAATCTAGACAATGACGTACTATAATAACATAGTGCTTACATGAACAGGACTACAGGAGCCACGGTCAAACGATTTTTCATTTACCATAAATCTCTGCTGATTAATGTAAATAATAAATATTATATAATCTATATTGAACCTCAATTATGATATGAATTATCAAATAGGTATTTTATAAATAATTATTCACCTGGTAAATGCGACTCGTTGAAATACATCTTCTCCATAATTGTTTTATTTTCGTTTAATCTAGAACATATTATAATCGAATATTAAGTAGGTATAGTAGGTACATTAAATGAAAAAAAAAATACTTCTAATAATTTATCAAAAGTAAATTGATTTATATTATATAACTATAGAGTATTTAATATATAATAAATATACATTATGCAGCGATAGCAATATTCTTAAGTGTTTATAAATATTTTTGTCAAGTGGTAAAATATGTGATTTTATTAATTTATTGTTTATCTCAAAAACGCCAAATATTCCTATAAAAAATATTATATAATATACATAATATTATTCTGACATTACAAATAATAATAATAACATTAATTTTCACAGTGATATTCAATGATACGTATGTACAAATATATAATTATGATTTTATTCTTTATAGCTACAATATTATGCAAAAAAATTCATGGACAAAATAGTCTAATAATCTTTCACTCTCCTCGACCGTAAATTGAAATATATAATGATACTGCATAAAACAGTTCTTAACCTTCGTGACTAAAGTGAGACCAATTGAATGGACATAATTATCATAGATCACAGACTGCAAGGTTATTATCATTCTCAAAAATGGGTTGAGAGGTCTTATCAAAATAATTCTTTGTTTGAAGGTTTAAAAATAATAACCATAAAACGTATTTTTTTTTTTCGTAAAAAAAATCTTCTTGGATGTAACTGATGGATCAGTTATATGGCATATAAAAATTATAACCGTTGTGATACAATACATTTATAATTTGAGTAAGCAGGTGTGTGGAGCATCTAGACGTATGTAGTCAAACATAAACATACGGTACGTACTACATACTGAGAAATATAAATATAAATAAATATGTTATGCAGAGTGATCACGCTTGTTTATTACCTCCCTTTTTTTCTTTTATAACGCAGTTATTAAAAACCTGATTTTTGAATTTTTTAAATATACTTAAAGACCATATTATTTTCGTATACTTAATATTTTTTGAAAAATTGTAATGTATCTATGGGAGTTATGATGATTTGAAAACTAAAATAATTAATACTAATTTATCAACATGTTATACCTAATTTATAAAAATTGTAAATTGTCCGAGTATAAAAAATACTATGTTCATTATTAAATATATTTTATATTTTTTAAAACCATTTTTAAAGACTACAGTCCTTAGTTTATACCTTTCATTAACTCTGAAACCACTTGTTTGAAATTTGATTTAGATACCTACGTAATTTTCTCCTGAATAATAAAATAAAAAAAATGAAAAATGATTTCTCAATTGAAAAATAGACCACAGGACACCTCTTAAATGGTACAAAAAATATGAAGTATTTGGTATAACTTTATGATTTTAAATTATCAATAATCAAAGATAAATTAATAGACAACACATTTTTTTTAACTGTGTAAATAATTTATAATTTTTTTAATCACTTATATTTTCAATATAAAAACAAGTACAAATAAAAATAAATAATTTAGTAATTTGATCAAATAAACTACTTATTATTAACTAAAAATAATTTTTATAAAAACTGTATGGAAATATATTTAATAATAATTAATAATGATTTATTGGTAGGTAGGTACTTAAGATATTAAACCCACGCACATAAGTTTTTCTTAGCCATAAGTTTTACTTAAAAAAAATTAATAACAACACGTCTTATCCTATAGGAACATCATATTCAATAAATAATATTGATTGAACTGATTATTGTTCGATAGCTAATGGTGAATGATGACCGTAAATAAATGTTGACACATTTTACTACAGAAAAAGACTTATTCCCACTTGCACTATAATATGCATATTTGCATATACAAACTAATATTTTTTTTAGTTAATTTCAACATTAAGGAAGGTTGGGTTAAAAAACACACAATTATTCAGGTTATAATTTAGTATTTTTCATACTAAAAATATTTTTGTAAATTAATTATTTCAACATCATATCCTTACCTCTATGAAAATTAATTAATCATCGGTAAATTGATAATAAAATAAAATAAATAGACATTGCTGAGTGATAGAGATCTTCCAACACTACTGAATAAAAAGGCCGAACTTACACTAAATTGAATATGAGTTATGAATTATGACTAACACAGATACGAGCTAGTCATGAAACAAACGAATTAAAAACTTAGTTAATCTGGAAGAAACTGCTATCTGCAGAAGTCTTCGGGACACAATTAGTGCGGGTCCTAGTGTAGAAGAATAAACAATACCATTGTGATCGTTAGACCATAAATTATCAGGAAGATTAAAATCATAGCAGAAAATAAACATATGATTAGCATGAATGAAAAGAAAATCAACCACAGTAGTAATAATAATGTACGTGTCGTAGGACAAATAAGGAGAGGGGCAAGTATACAGCCACTAACTAGAAATTTGTCATCATTAAAAATAAATAATTAATACCTACTTAATTACACTAACACCAGAAATTAAGTGACCAGGTATGCCAAAAAGGACCCCACCACCTCTAGAATAGCCCGATAGCCAATAGGCAGCTTGCAGGCTGTAGCAATTTTCTAATACATCGAAAAATATTTTAATCACTTATACTTAATTACAAATAGACTATTTATTTATTAAGCCAAATTTCAGATAACATTATTTGAATATATAATTGAAATAAGCAATATTATATTTATAATTATTTAGATTTGTCCTGGACCTGAGAAATGTTTGTAAAAATCAAACGATACATCATTATACATTATAGCCTATAGCCTATAGGTACCTATTATTAACATTAATAATAATATTACTAAACAATAATAACATTTATATTATTTACAATACAATTGAAGGGTCCATTGCAATATCAACATTGCCGAAATTAAGTTTTTCTTGACAAGCTACGAAAATATATTGATATATCTAATGACCCAGTCATCATTGGCAATATATATCACATTGATATATGCCGTTGAAATTTATGAATTGTAATTTCAGACATAGGTATCAGATATAATAACCGACCAGCGATCATGAGTAAACATTACAGATTTCTTACGAAAAAAACTAATACATAACAAATAGGCAATACAGTGCCTTAAATGACTTGGGTCCAAATACACACAGTCAGTAATCAGCAGCTGACTAAAATACCTGTGTTTTTAGGACCAGGAAGACAGATAGTAATTACTAATTAGTAATTACTTATACAGTTACATGATGTGGGCATGTGCCACAGTAAGCCAAAGACAAAGAAACCGATAACCAACGTCCAGCGACAATACAATTAATAAATGTATTACAAAACAAAGTCCAATATGATTGGAAAACACAATAATACTATAACAGTATACAAAAACACATATTGAATGCTTAATAGTATAACGGTAAAAATAAAGCTTCTTAAAACTATAGGTCAATAACTGAGAACTTGATTTTTAATGGTCTCACTGGTGACTAATTAAGGATTCATGTCAAGAATGATTAATTACTCCATTATAAGCATTGCTGAATAAAAAAAATAAAAATTGTTAGGTGGGACAACAATAATAATAATAATAGGTGGAAAGGTAAACAGTGGATCTTTACATTTAATTGTGTACAGCGTGTCAACGAATAATTTATGTGCACAATGCATACATAATAGGTATGTACTTATGTGAAATAATTATTAAATAAATTGCCATTGCTTGAAATATGAAACAATTTAAAATTGTATCATACCAATTATACTCATCATAAACAAATAAAAAAAAATTATCTACAAAATGTCTGAATCAATAACGATGATGCTGTTGTAGTACCCTAATACGGTTAATTGCAATATTTTACACATACCGGTACCTACTCATTTTATTACCAAAATAATAATAAATTATAAAAATCATACTACTAATTGATATACTAAATTATTAATTAGAATACAATTTTCAAAATGAACTTAAAATTAAAATATGAATAGTTTCATTTTATTCGTAAAAAACATTTTCAATCGATGTACATTTATAATATATAATTGTATTCAGATGCATATTGTGATAATTCCTACCTATTGCAAAGTTTAAAATGAAAAATATTGATTTTTCATTGAAATTTTAACAGTTAAAATTAATTATTTTTAATCCATGATATAACGGGCAGTAAGATTTATGAAACTTTTGTATTTATTTTATAATCAGAAGACATGGTTTTCTTAAACCTACGTTCAAAGGATTCAATAATCAATTACATTTTAACTTTAAGCTAATCCTTAAACCAAAAATGATTGTATCCAAAGTATAATATATCATTATAACATTCATCAGATGTTAGTGAACCTATATTTTACTACCTTAGTATTGGATGTTGGAGAAACAGATATATCATTACCTAAATTTGTTTTCAATATTTTCGTTAAACTTATTTTTGTTTTGTTTGTTCTCAGGTATTCAAGTCCAAAACGTTCGTGGTTCGTCGAAGAAGAAATGGGACGTAAACTGCAAGGTTCGAAGGACACATACGACATAGACAACCTGATCTCACCTATTTATGCGATGACGGTGGCTGGCACGGGCATGAGCAGTGCCGGCTGGATGGGCTACAAAGCAGTGCCCGTCGATGAACCTAAGCCTGCACGGACCCCATTGTTCCTAATTGATAATGGTCTCAGTGCTAAGACACTAGATGCTATGTTACACATATTCATTATATGTTTAGTACTTTTTATTATCATCAACTGTATGTGTAAATTTGTTTGGTTATTTCTAAAATGATATTGTTTTATTAATTATTGTGTGTATACTGTATATAGGTATAGTCTTAAGTGCCTTGCTAAAACATTTTTTAGTTTAAATATTATTGTTTTTTTTTTCATTATTACTATTTATTGTGTGTTATATTTATATTTATAACAATTCATAAATCATATTTTCTTCATACACCAAATGTATAATTTATTAACAATTAAATTGTATTGTAATATTTCATTCATTAAATAATTCTAAGACAATATTATTATATCATTGTTATTATTGTTATCCAAAATAAACATGAATACTTTTGAGGTAAACATGTAGTAAATATTTCTGTTCAAAATTAACTAGAAACAATGATCATAGACCATAGTTCAATAAAGTTATAAACCTCATAAACACTTAAAAGTTCAAACCAAACACCAAAGTGATTACTATAGTAACTACCGAAGTTCAACTATTTAGTATTCATTAATACCTAATTTAATGAATACTATTAAATACATAATATGAGAAATAAACTATAGTTATCTATCTATAAATGATTTGGAAAACTAATATTTAACCTTCCACACAATATTTTTAGCATATAGAATAGTATAATTAATGTTAACATCAAAATATAGAATTACTAAAGTAGTAAAATAGTCAGTTCTATTAATTTAATTTTATATTGTACTTTAAGTTCTTTATCTTCTTAACATTGAATTTAACTTTGCAGAAGACAGCACGTCACTTAAATCATTAAAATAATTAAAATAATCTACCTATACTCTATGGATACACCATACACATTATTATTACGACGTTGTATATTTAATCTACCCATGAGCAAACTTGATAATAACAAGTAATTTATTCTAAATTCACATTTTTTATTTTTACATTGATATTGTATTATTTAGGTGACATTAAAAATGTCTTAGATCCATTTCATAAAGCATTACATAGTAATAATAGCGATGTATGAATGAGTTTAAATAATTGCTAAATGTTTCAAATGAATAAAACAATTCTGAATTTACATACGTACAAAATACGGACAGGTAATAAAAATAGATATTAAAACACATGCAATTCTAAAAGTGGTATAGGTACCCTATACATATTAAATAGCATAACACTTATATACAGGGTGATTCTTTTATCATTTAACACTCATTATTTCAAAAAGTATTAATGTTTTTGAAAATATTTTTTTATAGTTTCAAGTTGTCAAAAAAACAACGTTTTTATTAAAAATATGATTTTTGACAACTTGAAACCATAAAAAAAAAATACTTTCAAAAACATTAATACTTTTTGAAATAATGAGTGTTCAATGATAAAAGAATCATCCTGTATAATACATATTGTTTCGATTTTATTTTCTTATGGCTGCATAAATCAACGCTCACCAACATTGTAACTTTTTAAATACAAAAAAAAATGTATTTACCTTCAAAATCATACACGTATATTAAACATAAAGTCACCACAATATGGTCAATATGTCCTGTTTCAAACGGGAAAGTTCATGCTATGTGACGTTATCGGTTCCTCGAACAAATTACGAGACTGTAATTTATAAAATATTATTATTATTATTATTATTATTATTATTATTGTAGCGGATGAAGTATTTTATTATAATCGCCGCGAATCAGCATTCATCGCCAACGCAGTAATCATCGGCTGTTCTCTATTCGAGTCATTTCGAGAACGTTATTTTCGGTACCGTTTTGGCGTAAAAAATATTATACATTTAATGTTTTTAACTGTCATCAATTATCATGAAATTATACTAACGTAAATCGTAGTAACTATTTTTCATACTCAATATTCGAAACATATAGGTAAAATACATTGATATTTTTAAACAATAAAGTTATCAATTTATCATTATCATTTAACCAATAATAATAACATTTCTCGAACACCACATTTATTTATTTAAATTTATAAAATTACAAATACGAGTATATTTTAACTCTTTCTTACTGCAAGAATTTATAATTTTTTTTAAGTTTATCTAATCATATAATCATATTCTTATTATAATAATTTCACTATATTATCTATGATTGATAAATTCTGTCATAAATAAATTATATAACAAAATACTTCTATTATTACTTCTCTTTTTACTTCTATCTTTTGTAGGCTTACAGTCTTTGGCCGATAGACGTATCAACATTAACAAAGTCTTCCTAGTCAAGCTCATCAATGGGTCGATCGACTGTCCTGAACTTCTATCTAAAGTAAATTTTAAAATTCCCTGTGTCCAGGTCCGTTCTTCCTATCCTTTCAGTATACCACTATGTACGACAAATTATTCACGAAACAAACCACTAAATAGGATGATGCGTATTGCCAATGAGGATCCGTCTTTTAGTTTTTAAGTTAAGTTCTGTAATTCTTTTCTTTTGTATTCTTTCCTTTCTCTATATTAATTATTATGTCTACTACACATTGAATTCACTTATAATATGTAAATTTATTTTTCTGTACTTTTGGGCTGCGGCCCGTATTAAAATAAAAAATAAAATAAATAAAATTAAAAAATGTCCTTTCTCGTTTTATTGGCTTAGAACTGTTGGTAGCAAAAACGATATTTATATTTTTAACTATTTGATGTATGATTGTAAATTGGTATTTCAGAATAAATTAGGATATCGGATTTATTTGTGCTAAACGTATAATGCAAACAGACAGCACCCAAGACCCAACATCAATATAATATTGTGACTTAGGCGCCTAAAATGAAATTTTATTTAATACCGTATTAAAGAAAATGTTGTGAAAAAAATAATTTTTTAATTTTATGAAATTCACAAATGTTCTTACATACTTATTAGTTGAATTTATTATTACCTAGTCGGTGTTTGACTAAAATTATTCTGTAGTTTGGTCACCAAACGCTGTAAATTCAATGCAAATAATTAAATCTATTCAAAATCGTTTTCTGAGAATAGTGTCTTTTAGATGTGGTTTTGTATGAAACGGCACTCTTCTTATTAGCCATTATTAGATTTTTTTTAAATTAAATCATTGAGAACATGAAGTGTAAGGTTAGACATTTACTTTATTTTCAATTGACTTAACGGGCATATTTACTGTCCAATCTTACTTGCCAAATTAAATTATTCGACTTATATTCACAGTAGACAAGCAAATAGATTAATGTTCTATTTCAGTCTACTAACTATGGTCTCAATTTTCCTGTTAATGTAATCTATATATATAAAAATTAAATGCTGTTCGTTAGTCACTCACTCACGCTAAAACTCGAGAACGGCTGTCCGATTTGGCTCAAATTTTTTTTAAGATGTTCGTAATTGCCAGGAAAAGGTTTTTAAGAACGTACATTTTGGGAAAATCCACCGAAAAATTGGAAATCTGGATGTAAAAAATACAACAGTGGCACAACAGTGTATTATATTATATTGGTTGCTATTGGTTAATCCGGGGCATGTTTGTTGAAAAAAAAATTATAATTTTTTGTTTATAAATGGTCGCCATGGGTTGTAAATCTATTATAATAATAGTTATTGGTTTCCGTGAAATCAGTGTATTCATTCAATGCATTTAATTTTTTTGTACGCTGTGTTTTGATATTATATGTATCGCAATTACGCAAATATTGAGCGTATTATACTCACATATAAGTTACGTTCATAAAACAATGCCATTGGTCGACAGACTCGGCATTCACAGTTAGTCCAGCCGTTTATGAGGAGTTCAGTGACATATAGGCACTTAGTATAACTTTGATATTTTAGAGTTAAATCATACACTTACGTACAAACAGCACGGGATCTACCGCAGGTAGATTGCTTACCTGATAATATACTGCTGAGAATCAGAATTTTTATTCCGGGCAACCGAAGAGTTAAGATAAATTTTGAATACCATACGCCGAATATTAAATAACGAATTGAATAAAGTTTGAGTAATATAGAGTTGGTACAGTTAACGGGAAACGAAGTAAGATAATTCTCAAAAGTAAAACATAAATAACATTACGATATTTATTATGTAATTTATATTTTTAGTCAAAATAAAAAATAAATAATTCACAATAGATTTAATAATAAAAAGATATGTAAGAATTATCTTTTGTTTTTAACTTTTAAAAAATAAGTTTTAATCATTTTTAAGCCTCGTACAATTTACAATAATTAAAATGTTAACATTTGTAAAGAATCTTGCTGTATACAACAAATAAAGTGCAACTTATTGGTAAGTATATATTGATTAAATTATTGTATTATGCAACAAAACCTTAGTAGTTCGACAACGACGCAGTATTAAACGCATACATATAAATAGAATTTGACAATAATTATTATGGTAGCTGAGTGTGGCTCAGATAAGATATCATAAAATTCAGGATTAAAAAAGTGTTAAGAATAGGTGACCCGTGTTATTGAAACAATTTAATGGACCTGCAAGCTCCTTTATCTCGTGTCAAATCGCTAAAATCACTCAATGATCACCCTTTCAAGCAGCAGCCACAGGAAGTAACCGGAGTTGCATAAATAAAGTGGTAAATATTGTCAGTTAAAGTTTTGTCATCATAACGATAACACGCTCAATAATTATTAAAACAGTGACTGTCTTGCAGGGATTAACTCAGTCAAGTACAGAGCTAAGGTTTCAAAATTCCGGTTCTTTGTCAATCGTGTCGTTGTTTCGCTTATCGATTTAATATGTAACGTTAAGTTTTTACCAATCATATTCTGTTTATTTTTGACTATATCATCTGACCACTATTTTTATCTACCTTAAATAAAACAGAAAATTTAGCAAAGTATGCGGTTTTTATTAATTTTTTCTCAGTAACAATTTTCAAATTCTAATTAAATGAATTATCATTATTTTCAATTTTTAAATACTTACCTGTGTACAACAATTGTGTCAAGCAAGATGAGTTTTTATAGGGAATATTAGGGTTATCTCTAATATAATGTATATAATATAGTACTTATCTAACTCTCCTTTCTGATTACACCAATTTAATAGACGGATACAATTTATTA